TGTTTGTATGATTTTCCTTTTTAATTTCCACAAACTATTTTCAGTACATTGCAATACACTGTGAATATTGAGCTGCACATATTAGTTATTTATTTGGTGATGAAGAACAAAGTGATGGTGAATATTTATTTTGTATCGTCTGTGTTAATGTTTGTGTATGGATTAGTCTTTAAGTTGCTCTTGAAATAAAAGTTAACCCACAGTGCATGTGGACTGGATTCATTTTGTTTTCGTGCTGACCATTAAAATGCTTTTCACACTGATGACTGTTGAATACAAGCTGCTGTTGCTGTAATAAAACACTACTCAACTATTTTTGTGGTTTACCTGTTCCCAAAGGTCAGGTATAAATGGTAAATTTATATTATTGTTTTATCAATCCCATACTGATAATGCAGCATGAGGAGCATTTTGGGGCTCAGTGTCTTGCTCAAGGGCCAGGGCATCCTCAGCTCCTTTACAGCATCTTCACCAACTTTGGAAAATAAAACAAAACAAGAAGCACAGAGGCAGAAGCCATTACCTGCACACATAGCACGTCAAACCATAGTAGTACTGGAAATTGAAGCTGGACATTACAGCTCTGAGAAATCTTTACACACTTCTTACATTCTCTAATCATAATATCCTTTGGCTACTTTCCTACTGGCCGCTCTTTGCTGTCTCACACCTTGACTTCAGAGGCTGGTGCAGATGTTTGAGTGCACAATTCCTCCAACGTGTTGAACTGTTGCTTCAGTCTTCTGGCAATTTCCATTCTTTTTTTCATTTAGGGATAATTATGACTGACAGTTTTCAGTGTATCAAGTATCTACAGAATCAAAAAAGAGAAGAAAAAAGAAAAAAATCATTAGGAGGAACCTGGCCCTGGTCGTACATGGCATTGGATCAAGATCACATTTTGTGGTACGGACAATCATCAGTTTTATACACTTTGGATCTCTGGTTTGAGGAGTTAGGAACATCAGTGTTATGTTCAGGAAAGGACTCAAAGCCCTGCTATAGAGGATCATTTTATTAGGTTTAGGCACTTTACTTAAACTGAAGTTAAAGGGAATCATGGGATTGGTGAAGAAAACCACAAACCAGGAAGACAATGCCATTTACTCATTTTAATGGTTAAAAAAATACTTCTTTGATCAAAGAGATAACAATAAGTCCCTGTTTGCAGAGGAAACAAGGGGCAAAAACAATTATGGCCACCAAAAGATGACAGGTGGAGCAAGATAAGATGAGGTAAATGTTTTTGAGGAGAGAAAACAAAAAAGGCACAATTTACAATAAATCATGCCCCAAATTCACAATAACAATAATAATTATAATAATTATAATAACAATAATAATAGCAGTACAACAACAAAAATCTGAATTTCTGCAACAACAAAAAATACAGACCAGTCATTATACAAGGCAAGCCTGTCAGGGTCCTCCTGTGTGCTCTGACCCAATCAGGCTTCTGTCCACTGAGCCTGAGTCCTGCTGATACTGTACACAGAAAGCAGTGCGGCAGTGCACAGGGACTTCAACATGCTATCTAACCACCAGACATGACACACAGAGTTTGGAGGGACCAATGCAATCATCGTGGCAGAAAGCACCACAGCCTTGGCACATGATCATGGCTTTGAGGCGGCACGAGCACTTGAGTGCCACCTCCTCAGCAGTACTGTCAGTAAAGGCCTGGATGCTAAGGGTGGTCTGGCTGGAAGTCAAGCGGGGACGCAGCTGGAGCACACTATCTGCCATGCTCCGGGAGAAACCACCATTGTCCATCACTGACACATTGGCTGTGTAGCTTACTGCTCCAACACTGCCAGCTTGCTTGGGGAGCTTCCCATAAAGCTGGAATGGAAGGGAGGAGGAAGAGGAGGAGGGTGAAGGAGAGGAGGAAGTGGAGGGAGAGCCAGATGAATAGGAAGCTTTGCCGTGCTCCTTCTTAGCCATCCTGGCAAAAGTCATCTCCATATTGAGGAGTCCTTCCATTGCCCCTCCACTAAGGAAGCTGTCCACAGAGCTCACAGGCTCTTTTTTGGTAATACTCATGGGTACAGTGGGGGAGGATTTGGAAAAGGCCTGGCAAGAGGGCCGTGCAGCAACTTCATTTTTTATGGTAGGTGCAGGAGAAAATTGCTGTTGGTGAGGGTGGAGGAGCTGAGACTGTTGGGGCCGCCAGTTGATCTTAATAGTAGGTAAAACCTCTGTGGGACAGGTGTCTGCATGAGGAGGAGATGGGCCATTAGGCATGGTCCGGTGGGGTGGCTGGGGCCTGTCCGGAGTGGTCCCCGGTGAGGGCTGAGTGCCACGAGAGTCTTTGATAAAAGCAGACTCCACTGCTGTCTGAGAGCTAATGTCTGACTTACTTCTGGAGGAGGAGGGTGGCAAAGAAGTGATGACTGGGACAGCCCCTGGGGCCTGCTGAGACTGATACTGTGATACCGCTGGGGCCTCCATCAGACACGAGACTGGACGGCCTATAGGAGACTTGTTGTTGCTCTGGGAGACTGCATTCACTTCTGCAGCAAGAGACTGGGCTGAAGCATCAGGCCTGTGACGAGGCCCAGGTGTCCTGACTAGTTGTGGCCTGGGTTGTGCTCCTGGCAATCTGCTAATTTCCAGTCTGTTGGCAGAGTGTGAGGGTAAAACTTTCTCTAGTGGCAGGCTGCCCTGCAGCAGCTGAGTGACTAAAGGGTTGTTGGCCTCTACACTGGATACTGGTCTGACTGAGTTGGCCAATCTCTTGGAGGCAGCTGCTGCAGTCAGTTGACTGACAGAGGGCTTTAGGCCTTCAGGGCACTCTTCTTCAGCAGAATTCTGTCTGGCAGTTCTGCAATCATCTCCAGATTCAATTTTGACCACAACATTGACATCCCTGAGCCCTTGTGGGAGGGCTTGGGGGAGAGGAAGGTGGTCCTGAGAATGAGATCGGCTCTGTAGAGGGTGAGACAAGTTGCTGGGGAAACAAGGCTGAATGACGGTCTGACCTTGGCGACTGGAAACGTGGGCCTGGATGACTGGCTGCTGGTTCTGAGGAGAAGGGCTGCAGTTGACTAGTTGGCAGTTTCTCTGGGTGCTCAGTGTGGGGCACCAGTCCTGGTCAGGCTGCTGCTGCTGATCTTCCTGGCACTCATCCTCACAGTCTGAAGCGGTTTCGGTGGAGTCGCTATGTGCCCCAGCCTCGTCTTCTTTATCTCCTCCAGAGACAATATGCTTGGGAGAGGCTGTGTCTGTAAGCTGTTTCTCTGTAGCTGAGTGAGAGAGAGGCCCCTGGGTGTCCACATGGTGGGAACCATGCTGGATAACACCACCCATTCCAGCCTCTTTTCCTTGTTCCTTCTCTATGGGCTGACAAGAACTTGCCAGCGTCTGAATAACATCCACACCTTGAGCCCCAAACCTGGGAAGGGAATCTGGGATTGAGGTTGGGGCCAGTGGGATTTTTTCACAACTCTTGTCTGAAATCTTTATGGGGCCAGCGGCAGACTCAGGTGCCTGGCTTTGCCTGGTAGGCTGGGCAGCCATAGGCTCAGCTACAGTGTCTACAGCTACACGTTTTGGATAAGGCGTGTCAACTACCTTATCTGTTTGCCCACTACAGGGGCTCTGAACATTGGCTGATGTTGCTTCTATTTCCTCTGGGCCCCCAGCTACCTCCTCTCGAGGGGGGGTTTGTGAAGGCTCCAAGGACATGGATGTTAAGGTAGAGGATAGGGAGGGCTGTACTGTGGGATCTACACTGAGAAGCAGTAGTTGTGTTCCAGACAAATTAGCGCCCGAAGTTGATTCCTGCTCCTCCTCCCCACCATCTCCCCTGCTTCCACTTCTTCTTCTTCCTCTGCCCCCTCCTCCTCCGGGCTCGATTGGTCCTGGGTGCTCTCGTGCTCTTCGTCCATTGCTGCTATCCGGTAGCCCAGAAGCAGGCCGCAGCCTGACTGCGGGCGGCCCTGCCCCGTCGCCAGAGGCTGCAACAGCAGCAGCGGCCTCGCGCTGGGCCCGGGCTTGTTGGGCACGGGCTTTGATGTCTGCCAAGGTGCGTGCGCCCCCTGTCCCCGACCGCCGCGAGCCCTCACCGGGGGGCACGATCCGTGGGCAGATCTGGTAGGTGGGGTGCCCTTTGACCCAGGGAGGTTTGATTCTGGACAGTTGGATCTGGGACAGACATACAAGGACAGTGAGTACCACCTATCCTAAGTAACAACTTATTTCAGAAAAGCCAAATCAATTTTGTGTGAAGGTTTATCCCACAAAGTCTTACCCGGATAGGCGGCACCTTGGGTTCCTCTGTTGTCTGCTGCGGCTTCTCCGAACGGACACTGTCAATTGTGGTACGAAAGGACTGACGGTCGTCAAGCCGCGGCCTCTTTTCGGGGAAGTTGGAGAAGGTCTGACTCTCATCTGGCCTTCTCTTCTGCTCCTTAAGCTGAACACTGGGTGCAGGGGTGCTGGCTGGGCTTGCTGAAGGGCTGCTCTCTCGGCTGCTTGTGGCGGTTCCCCCTGTGATGGACGTGACCACCGAGGCAGTATCATCCAGGGGATCGACTGCAACTGCAGCACTGGAGGATGCTGA